GCAATAATAATAATAATAATAATAATAAATGGTTTCCCATTATTACTTATGTCATTATTATTGTAAACCCTTTGTGCCCATTGAGCATTAGTGACTTTTGCATGTGTAACCGAAGTCTTCCTTTAAACAGCCAATTGTTGCAGTAGCTAAGCATTGATAAATATCCTTATGAATTTTTTATTTATGATACAGAGAGGACAGTTAGGCAATGTCCAAATCAAACCTGATTCTGCGGTTTTAAAAGGCAATGCGTCTGATTCGCTCGATCAATAAATCCGCATCAATTGACACTTTGAACAGCCTTCATGTGTTGTGTGCGCGTCATAATATAAATCTGTGCAGCTGTATCTTATTTTGTGGAGTAAAATAGCATATTCATCTATACAACCTTATAGATATATGGATAGATAGATATATAGATGGGATAGATGGATAGGTAGATAGATAGATAGATAGATAGATAGATAGATAGATAGATAGATAGATAGATAGATAGATAGATAGATAGATAGATAGATAGCCTAGATGTAATTTACCATTTTGCTGACCTATGCATTTCCTTCGGGAATGATTCATTAGTGGAATTGCCAGAATGACTTTGCTTTTATTTTGCTAATTCACTTTCACGCCTCTTTAGCACGTACCCACTCGGACTTTGAATGGGCATGTCAAAGCCACCATAGAAGCACTAACAGTTCCCTTTGTCACTTCAATTGTGACCCTAAATATATTTGTTCAGTCATTTGCTTTTGAATGTTATGCAGAGGATCTCCTGGAGTAAAGTTTAACATAGGAGCTTCACTGTGAGTTCTGCTCGGGCCACACACGACTAATGCTGCCTGCGCTCTTAAATAAAGTCTGCTGCATGCAGGCCGATCGGACATCAAGTGTGCCGGACAAAATGGTCCTTCGTCATTCATGTTAATTGAGTTTTAGCGAGAGGCACCCCTCCTGAATACATTAAAAGTCCTAAAGAAGAATTTATTAATTTAATTAATATTAAACAAAACTTAAAAACAACTAAGTAGCAATATAGCATGCTTCTTTTCGATTAATTAAGGGTTAAAAAAATACGTAGGCTAAGTTAAGCATTCATTAGTAGCTATTTCCATAAAATTGCGAAAAATCACCCACCTTACAACCTTACACCCACCACACATAAGCTTACGAACGTTTTATATTTGTGGGAATAGAGTTTACGCATATTTTCCATCCAACATTCCCTCTGTGCCGAATACCGTATCTGCAACAGATCATAAGCATTTGTATTCTTTAATTCACATATTTTTGTAAGGGGGCTTTTTTGTCTGATTATCTTTAACTGGAATTGGTCATTTACACACCACATTCTATTATTGCCCCAGCTTCACGTCTGATCATATCTATAATAAAAGAATGATCATGGCGAATGGGCTTCCTCTGCTAAAGAAATGCAGGATGAATCATGTGAGAAAGTTGGATGATAAATGTGCCAATTGTAAACAGGCACAGGAAAGCTCCTGTGGAGGTGTGATCTCACCCAAGTAAAAACATAAACATGTGCGCTTCAAAAGGTCCTGGTTGTGCGTAATCACTCCACGAAATGCACCGCCATAAATAGAAAAAAACACATGGAGAGGGAGAGGGGAACCCTGAGCTGCAACTGTCTATAAAAGCCCATTTGTCTTACGTTTAGACAGCAAATTCTTCCAGGTGAGGGTTGTTTAACCCAACAAGCATCACGGGGGTGACGTTTTTGTCATAATAAATATACACGCAAAACTGTTTAAATGAACAAATTAAGTTCTGGCACATAAACCGGGACACTGTATACGTTTGTTGACCTACAACTCCATCTAAGGCTTACATATCGGTGGTTTAGGAGTAAAACGGTAATATATCTTCAGTCAACAACAGGAGAGCATGAAAACAATAAATGATGTTAAACAGCATCGAAGTGGGGACTGCCCTTATGGCCTTGCCTGGATATCATTTTGATGTCTGTTTTCATTCCTTTTTTTCTGCTTCATCCTTCCATCCAACGTATTTTACAAGGAGCAACCACATCGCCTGTGAGCTACAGAGGACTGTCATCAACGCAATCTATCTCCTCAGCATACTGATAGCAGCAGTTCAACAGCCAAGGCCTTTATACTCACCGTGAACCATGTTACGTTGACCCTTAGCAGAATTGCAGCAATGTAGCTCTCATTTCTCGAAAAACATAAAACATTTTTATTTTATACTGAAAATAATTGAAGTGGAAGTAGAGGTCGTGATCCTCAGACAATTCACATTAAAATCCTTGGAATATCCAAAAAAGCGAAAAGAAAAGCCCAGAGCCACAAGACAATCATTATGATAAGATTACCAAATACAAAAAAAACATATAAAACCACTCATTATTATTGTATAGGTTTCATTTCAGCCACATTGACGCACCCATTAAGCTCAATTAGTTCAAGTGGATAAACAAAATCATATTATTATTAATTATTTATGTTTCCAGACACTAAGAACTCAGAAATCAGTGAAAGGCTGGGTGTAATAGGCCCATCGTTAAATAATTATTCGTAAATAAAATTACAATATTGAAAGTGTTGTTTACCTTCTACATGTAGGCTACATTTCATAAACTGATGTGAACAATAACATCCCCCCCCCCACCAAAAAAAACGGGGGTAAAACAAAAAAGGAAACATTAATTAATTACGAGCAGTTTCTCGGGCTGTCTGACCCAGGGACCCGGAGAGACGCACGGGGAAACTTCTCCAACAGGCCGTTTGTTTCTCTCTACATCGCCATAAACCCAGGTATCCAAGAAAGAAGTCGCAGCAGCGGTCATTAATCACCCGTTTGTATTAAAAGCTTTGGTAAACCCGCAGCCAGGTTAGCCGGGTACAATTTATGGCATCACTTATGGAGGGAATAGATTGTTCTAACGAAATACATAAACTCAAAGCCCGTGCGCAGCCAGCTCCGCATTATTGTCGAGAAAACACCTCTCTCTTTTCTCCTTTTCCCTCTCCCTCGCTCTCAGTATGCCTCTGGTGCCCCAAACTTCTGAACAACAAGAATCCACTCATCCATTCAAGACATGTGTTTTAAGTCAGAGATTCCCTATTGGGGTCCGGGGACCTATAGGGGTCAGTGTGAGAGGGGTCCAGTGCAAAAATAAAGAACTAGACATTTTCAAAATAGTTTTCGTCAGGAGAAGTAGGCTATGTTCAAAATAAAGTAATGAAAGCCATTTCCATCCAGTGGGCTGTAATTAATTTAGTTTACTTTATTCAACAGCAAAATTGCCCCTAAGTTTGTTTGATGATTGCTTCTAATAGGCTCTGTGAACAATTAAGTCACTTCTGAATTGGGACTCTTATCATAGCCTACCAGGGCTGCCCTTCTTATTTAATTGCAGCAATACAACATTATCAGATAAGCTTCACACTTGTTTTACCAAAGGAAACGTCTACTCGTGTTTTCTATTCGTCTTGTTCTGGCAGAGGTAGCAGTTGCAAAAAGCAATTTAGTCAGAAGGGTGATTTCAAAGTAATCAAGAAGCAGCGTATACACTTTTCTCAGCACCAACTGTTCCAGGCCCACGGAGGGCTTCTTGCATTAGGGTTAATACAATAAGAAAGTAAGTTAATAAATATAATTAAATCAAATGCAGGCAAGCCTAATCTTCATATGAAATATTTTTCGTTTTGAGGGTGTTAGATATTTAGTCCTAAAACGACCTTTGAGTGAAATAAAATGACGTTTCCTTTCGGTTCAATGCTTTATATTTAACTTACAGCATATGTCTACGTATTCACTGCATATAGCTGATGTTGGCTTTCAAGGCGTTGACGTCAAGAAGAAAATTGCCAAGCAAAGTAAAAGTTGCTTTAAAAAATAATTGGTCCTTTTAATAACTTGACTGAGGTATTTCACTCGTTATACATTGTGTGGACAGGTCGAGAAACAAGCTGAGAGAGAAAGGCGTTTACTGAGCCAATGGCCCACTGTCCTACTTTCCTACTGGCATTACAAGCCAACCGGGAGCCTCGCCTGGGCTCCAGCATTCATAGTTCAAGCTTTAGGCCCCTTTCAACCTTATTTCCACTGTTCCTTATTCCCATTCCCCTAAACAGAGCAGAGTGAGACATTCCGTAATGTAGCAAAGGAATAATAGAAGAGTGGGACACTATCTCGCAGTGGGGAAGACAGATAGAATTTCCCATTGATTTTACGCACGGCAAACATCAACACTCAGCTAAAACAGATGGCGTTGTTATTGGAAGCAACGGTTATGAAATATGAATGTAAATCAATCAATGCCACTTTAAGAAAAAGCACTAAATACGCGAAAATCCCATCAATACAGATAAAGAGTCGGGCAGTTTACTTGGATGTATGAACAAAATAACATTCTGGGTTTTAAAGCGTTTCTCAAGTGTAAAACAATAATGTGAGTATAATAATAGACTGTTATCATTTTTTGAGTGTGTACTTTGACCCTAAAGTGATAGTCCACATGTCAAAAGGCCAAACTGGCGTACAGCACATAAATACACGCAGCCGACCTGGGGGAAGTGTCTGGGGGGGCTCGGAGCCGCGACTCCCCGATGAGATACAGTGTGGAGCTAATTTCCTTTAAGTTACGAAGAAAGCACTAGCATTCAACAATAGCTCATGTAACAAAAAAGAATACACAACCACTACCATTGAAATGGATGAGGCTTTGTTGATGCGCATTACAATTGTGTATTGAAACCTTTACTGGCCAGTGGCCACAGTGCCTGGTTGCGCAAAGCCACTAATTCCATTAGAGATCCCTTAAAACGACCCAGATGGCCAAGTCGAACATTATACGTTAGTTTTTAATTGGAGAATGATACAACATGTAGAATGTGGGTATAGAGGAGCCTCACCCGCTGCGGTGCCCATGCAGCCTTAGAGAGGCTTGGGTGCTGGCTCACTTGATAAGCAGGGAAATACGCTTTAGGCATCGTACAACTGGATATGAAATGTCTTACCTTCAACGGAGGACACCAAAGGCAGCAAGATGCTGCATAAAAGCAGAAAGTAATCCATTGTCATGAAGCAGTCAGGATGGACATGTAAATAGACCCAGGAGAGAGAGCGAAGGGAACACAATCCTGGGTGATCCGACGCTCCACGCACCCCCGTCCCAGTCCCTGTCCCAGCGGTGTCAAGGCTCCAGCACCAGAGTTACCCCCATTCACCAAAACACGTAAAGGTAGGAGTTCGGAGGATATAACACCCTCTGTGTAAAATGTGTGAATACAGCAGTCCTTCTCGATTTTCAATTATCTCCAAGGTGCCTTGTTAAACCAGAGAAAAGGCAGCGAGCGCAAGTCTTTCAGTCCCTTCCTCTCCTATTAAGCGAATCAGTTGAAAACAGGTAGTCCAGTCCGAGGTCACCATCCGGAGAATATTTCCAGCATTAATTATTTGTAAATCAATGGAGGGAAAAATAAAAAAGCAGCTTTTGCGAAAAGATCCAAATAGTTTCTCTGTGGTTACAGGAGCAGAGGCAGAGAGAGCCACACTTGTGTCAGAGCCATGGTTTACAGTCCCAGCCAGGCATGTGCACGCTCACATGCGTCCGCGATCGAGTCGTATTCCTGTGAAGAAACAGCCTCGCGGTTTATTGATATGTATTCCCTGAGCGAATGTATCAGCTTCGGCTGCAGTGTGGACCGTCTGCTTCGTTCGGCTCGTGCACTGGAATGAAGCACACGGCTGTAGAGGAATAACGGCAGAGTAGAGAAGTGAGAGAGAGACAAAAAAGAGAGAGATAGAGAGAGAGACAGAGAGGGGGAGAGGGAAGGAGGGGGGGCAGCACAAGGAGGAGGGGTTACGGCTGAAGCAGCTGCATTGAAAAAAATGTCTACCTTGACAATGATTTCGTTTCATATTTATTATCAAAATAAAATACGTGTTTGGGCTGCATTTCTATCTTTTTGGTTTCACTTATTTTCAGTGCAGTCTAAAATTCAAATGTGCATGCCAAACGAACTGCTCTCCCAACTACTTGATTAAACATTTATGGGACAAAAATATTTCTTGGATATTTTTTTAAATAACTTGTGCAACATGTTAAATTGTATTTTCGCTTGAAATGTTGAGTTACTGCAAGGCTGGAATAAATAGCTTAATTGTCGATTTGTGTTTTATTTATTTATTATACAGCGCGTTTCTGTGTCTATCTCTTCCTTGGACTCAGCTCGTGCGCAGAGATGGACACACAGCGCCTCCCTGCGGGTCGTCCCGTTTCGATGCAAAGGAGAGTGGAAGTTTCTGCTGACTTCTTTCTTTCATTGAAAACATTTCTCTTCAACTGCTTGACTTAAAATAAAAAAATATTACGAGAAAGCTCTAGTTCTCTCTGGACGCTATTCGGGGATGTTTTTTATGAAAGTGATTCAATGCATTTTATCCTAAACCTAGTTCGGAAAAAAGATTTGGATGAACACAATATGCAATGTAGCTACAACTTCAACTCCAATGATACGCTCAAGAGAATCTTCAAAGTGTTCTACTAATGTCGATTTAAGAGTCCGTGGCATTGGGAGTTTTCTGTTAAATTTATGACAGCTGAACAACTTTCCTGGACTCGGCGCTTTTACTTGAGCGGAACATATAACTGCACAGCTATTTAAATCGCCCGTTTGTGTTTATAATATATCGAGACATTAAAATGATTTGCTGGGACAAAAGGAAGCAGACAGTGTTTTTTTCCTGTAGGATTATGGACCTGCCATTTACTTTTCCTCTTCCTTGGATCTGTTGAAGAGGGGATATGTGTCACTACCAGGCTTTTACAGCCTTTCTCCTCAATCCCTCTGCCTTTACAGTCTTTTTTTATTGTATCAGTGAGTGCCTCGGTGTATTCTCTAAACAGCAGTAGGGCTCAAAGAAGTTAGGGAATCTGCCAAGAATTGTGCGTTTAAGTCCAAAGGGCAACCTTTTATAACATTTACGTTTTATTTAGAGAAAAAACAAGTTTCTTTCATGAACATTTCTCAGTCTAAACGGATATTATAGTGCTTTAAAATAACGGAAATAGTAATTTGGTCACTCAAATATAATGCAGTGATCTTATAGGGGAGTTACAGGGCTGCTGACAAGAAAAAAACATATGCTCAGATACATTAATATTATCTCCCAAATTACCCAACCACTAAATAATATTTGCGTACATGTTTTGCTTAATTAAGCAATAACCAGCAAATGCATTTAATATAGTCAGACATATATTACTAGGCCAGAGATGACAGGCACAGTACAATGAGAGGCTGAATTGGCAAAGTCAGCATTAATACTTGTCTACCTAATAGCAAAAGTGGACTGCATTATTAATCATGTTGAATATTGATGTGTGCTCTGCACTGCTGTATAAGAAACAAGGGGAGAGCTGAACACCCCGCTTCAAATACAGTTATTAGTATTAAAGTCAATGTAAGGGATTTGCAGTATGGCTTCAACTTTATATATGTGCAAAGAATAACAATATGTTTCCATGGAATTTGAAGGCTGTTCCCCGCACTTATATAAAGAACAGTTTTTCAGTGTGTTGAGGAAACTAGACCTGTGAAATGTCAAAGTGAAGCCAAACAACTGGTCTGTTAGTGTAAAGTTGAAAGGTGATTTGATGCCATTTCCTGAGAGGCGCAAGCAGACAGATGTAACTATGTGCTCTGTCGGGTGTCTGTGATTTATGTGTCAGTGTTGCCCCTGCAGAGTTGACTGGTAATAAATAGTTTAAGAAATAATCTTGTGCCATTTGGCTATTGTGTAACTGACTTTCAGTTTTACAGTGATCAACAAGAGTTTATTTTTAAAACTTTTTTTTTACACCTCTAAGCCAGTTTTTAAATGTAAAAAGGCAAAACTGTTTGCTTTTACTCAGCATACATATTTTCACTAATGTAGCATATTTTTATACTGATCAAAAACAGCGAATTACATTTCTGTTGATGAAAATAATTGTTACAATTAATTTGGCAGAATGTTTACAATACTTGAAGAGCTCTAAATCCCAGCTCCTACCCAGCTCCTACTAAAACATTTTTTTCTCAGGATTGTTTGGCTACCAGATACAAAAAGTATTTAGAAAAGGTTAAACTGGATGTGATGACAAACTCGTTCTACTCCATGCAACATGCTGACTTTTCAAAGGGATCCCTTATGTATACAATTGTTTATGTTTGCATATATATATAATATGTAGATCTTGTAGAAAAAAACAAAAGTATTTCTATATACAGAATATTACTATTAATGCTACTAATATATTACAATTTGCTTTACTGTCCAACCTTTTATGACAAAAAAACAACACCATGTTATTACCAGTGCTTTTCTGAAATTGTTGGGCCTTTTCTAATTATCTGAAATATATCATATCTATTCAAAAGGCTTTGAGACATATTTAATTACTCTAGTAAATTACACATTTATTTTTCAATATAGATAATCATTTTTGAATTTGGGTCTCGATGTCCCAAAATGTTCTAAAACATTTTTAAAAGTTAGGTCTTGCAGACATGACATTTGTCAGAGTCCCATAACAATTCCTGTATACCTCACAACGACATAGTCTGTTTGAAAGGAAAATTATTTTATAAGTGAAGCGACATGAGTAAGAGGATCTGTGGCGGCTTCAAAGAAGACTGTCTCGTTTGTTGCCAAAACCACCGAAGCCTGAGCTCTCCTGCCTGGACCCTATTAAAGGGCAACCAGAAGCACACCAAGTTCACGACAGCCACCTCTGTTACTTCTATACGCTTATGACTGCTCTTAAAAGGAAATGAGGTAGAAAGATTTTAGAGCAACTTTGCTAAGAAAAGAAAACATATATTTCACAGATTCTTGTCAGGAGTCTGTTTCACCTTCTATCAGAAGATCAGAAAGCAAAACTCTTGGTCTATGATAAACAAAAGATTTCCAGTCGTAAGTCTCAGAGAATTGCTGAACCCCCCAACTGTTTGCCAATGTAAAAAAGAAGTGTTCAAACCATAAATATCTACTTGGTATAAACCAACACGCTTTTTCAATGACTGGAACGTCCACATTAATAAATCAACGGTCCTGTGCTTCATAGTAACGGTTAGGTTTTCTACTAAACTTTGTTGAGTAAGTTTATTCTTCTACGTTTTATAGTGTGTGTCATTTGACTCCGGTTTGACGGTTGAACGTTTTCTCGTCAATGAATGGCAGCAGTAAAACTGTATATACAGCCGTGTAATAAACCCTGCAGCGGGTCGAGATTAGAGCTGAAAGACACATACAAACACACACACACACACGCCTATTTTCAAAGATAATGCATTGATGTTTTGTTTTTTTACTTAACTAATACCCATAACCGAAACAAGTCTGACCCTCATTGGCCCTATCTTATAATCTCCCAAATAAGGACATGAGGATTTTTTTTGCTGTTTCTGAAACAAATACGTGGACATCAATTTTGACCCCGAAGCAGTGGCTGATCACAATTTGTTCCAAATGTTACTTAAAATAAACATACAGTACACAGACAGAGAAATGGCCCACTTAGTGTTCGTGAGAAGCACATGGCACACATTAGAAACTCAATAAGTAATGTGGCAGACATTTTACTACCATATGGAAATTTCTCAAGCTTACACCTACTGCGCCCTCGCCAGACCCTCGCTAACCTCATCCATCCTTCCTCCCACTCATCTCATGCCAGGATATCAGTGTCTCTACTTTCTCTCTTAAAACACACACACACACACACACACACACACACACACACACACACACACACACACACACACACACACACACACACACACACACACACACACACACACACGCACACACACACACACACACACACACACACACACACACACACACACACACACACACACAGACACACAGACACACACACACACACACACACACACACACACACACACACACACACACACACACACA